GGCACTCTGTATGGCTTCGTCCACCTCCTCAGCCCCACAGGGCACCATCTGACACAGGACCCGGCCTACAGAGACCAGAAGAACACCAGGTTACAGAGCTGAGCTACGAATGAAAAGCGAGCTGGGCTCCTCTACACCATGCAATTTTCTGTGTATCAAATCTCTTAACTAACAATTGACATTTTTAACCTGAATCAGTAAAAACACCCTCATTAACAGTAGTGATCTTCTTTGTGCAACATTAAAATGTAAAGCAGACCCTTGCATTCTTTAATCTTCAGAAATGTTTATGCCTGCCTGTCATTACTGTGCATATTCATTTTATAAACCTTTATAACCTGAAAGCATGAAATCCAGTTAACTTAATACTAATATCAAGTAAAGGAAAAATAGCCCTTTGTTTGTCTACAAGTCTGCGCACAGTTAAGGCAAAATGTCTATGTTACAATACTTAACAGAAGTCTGAACAGAATCTGAGCGTTTCAAATATATTTCAGAAGAACGGCAGGCCTTTAAACCACCACCACTTGTTTTCCCCAGAATACGTGTCCTTAGCAGGAGCATTAAGGCTAAAGCAGATTTTAAAGAGAAGTATATTCACCAGTTGCAGGCTCAAACACGGGCTCAGCGTTTTTCTCCTCCCTGGGTTTCACTCGTTTTCCACCCCAGAAGTTCAGAGGCTCCGTGACAACCACGGTCCCCGTCGAGGCTCCGGGCATCGAGTTGAGGGTTGACTGGGCCATTTCCAGATACAAAGCACCTGCAGGGATACGGGGAAGGATGTTTCAAAACTGAAAAACAGATGTGCAACAATGTGCAACTCAGGACAAGCGATCTAAACTGGTCGCTCCCTTTGCTAGCGTGAAGCTAGCACGGACATTAAGTTAACTGAAGTTGCACAAGAAAAACAGCGCGTGCACATTTTAAATATGAAAACAACCGAATAAAAATAGCTGAAGTTTTACCGCTTATGCTCCAGCAGAAGGACTGGAAAAGGCTCTTCACAGTCTGTTTCAGCAGCCAGAACACCACGCCTCCTTCATGCTACCACCCCGTATTTCTGCTGACTCACTCACTTCTGCTGAGTAAAAGCAATTGGATGGTTTTTTAACACAAGGTGATTTATTAGTTAATACTGCCGGTAACGTGTGTAAAGAATAAAAGAACCAGCAGCAGAATCAAAAACAGTGTTGTTCTGTCCTCACTAGATGTGGGTTTGACTTAGATTATCCAGTTTGACAGACAGTGAGAAGAAGAGAATGCTTTCAACTCAGATTGTTCTTTACTTTGGTCTGCATCTCCGTCATGTTACTTTCTTTTGTGAAACTAAATAAACCAAAACAGATAATTACCTTCTCATTCACTGAGCATACATAATATATTAACTGAAACTGAGTTTTAATGACAACCACCAACAACATCAATCTTAAAGTTGCCTAAATTAAACAACCTTCAGTGAACTAGCATTATTCCTCATAACAACAAGCAAAGACATGCTAGCACAAAAATAGATATACAAATGAGTAATAGCCACACAGCTGAAATAGTAACTCAGTATACTCTCATTACACATGCATCACAAATCAAATAGTAAGGTTATGTAATGTGCGTGGGCACAGATTTCACCTCTACTCCGCACTTGTATCAAACTAGCTGGACATAACAAGCTTCCCAAGTACCAACTGTGGCCACAAGAGGGTGCCAAATCATACAAAACAAAAGCATAATAACACATTCAAGCTATAACAACACAAGCCTTAAATGGAAATCTATGGGAGAACCAGGCAGAAGCATTAACTTAGAGGGATTAAAAAGCTCTTTAAAACATTACGATCGGGGAAGCGAACGAACCTCATTTTAACCAGATTTGTATGTTGATTCTATACATGCAGCTTTCATGTTCTAGACATCATTTAGATAA